CCAGCCACAGCAGTGACCTCCAGGCGACAATTGCAACTTCTCGCGCCTGGGCGGGGCGCGAACCGCCGACCCCTCGGATGAGAGGCCGACACGTTACCATTGTACTAGCCCGGAGGCTTGTGTCGCTTAGGACTCCGCGGCTTAAATGGGCCAGGCACGATGTTTACTCTCCGGTCAGGTCCGGAGAGGTAAGCGGTGATTGGTGGTGGTGACTGGAACCTAACTCGCCAAACGGTGTGTGTCAGGTCCTACGGAGTGCCGAAGCTTGCCGCGGGCTGGTCACCACAGCACTCCCCTTCCAGTGTAGCGGTCGCGAAACGAACCTTCGAAACTGTGCACTGCTCCTACAGGTGTGCAGGTTTCACGCGGTCGATGCAGACGGTGTCCTCCCCTCGTGGACGCCGAATGGTGATTGTCTTGCTGTCCCGCTTGATGACAGGGAAAGGACCCTCGTAGGGCGGGCACAGGGGGGGCTTGTCGGGTCGTCTGACGAAGACGTGTGAGCAGTCGTGGAGGTCGCGTGGTAAATAGATGTCCCGCTGCCGTGAAGGTCGGGTCGGACGAGCGCGAATACGGGCCATGCGGTCGCAAAGCTGCTTTCCGAAAGCTCCCGGGTCCTGATTTCCGGAGCTAACTATGAAGTCGGCAGGGAGGGCTATGGTGGTTCCGTAAACCATCTCAGCTGCGGTGCACTGAAGGTCCTGTTTGAAGGAGGTCCTTATGTTCAGGAGCGCCAAAGGCAACTGGTCCACCCATTGGCGCGTGGAGGATGAGGCTGTGAGAGTCTCCTTTAGGTGGCGGTGTATGCGCTCTACCATGCCGTTGGCACTGGGGTGGTATGCCGTGGTCCGGATGCGCTTCGAGCCGAGGAGAATCATCAGTTGCCTCCAGAGCTCGGACTCGAACTGGGACCCGCGATCGGTCGTGACCGTCGCAGGAGCTCCGTAGCGCGATATCCAGGTGGTGATGAAGGTCTTGGCAGTGGTCGCGGCGGTGATGTCCTGGATGGGGGTGGCCTCGGGCCACCTGGTGAATCGGTCGATCATCGTCAGGACGTAGCTGTAACCCTGGTCGGCTGGGAGAGGGCCGACCACGTCCAAGTGTACATGTTCGAAGCGGCCGTCTGGTACCAGGAACACCTGTGGGGGAGCCTTAGTGTGTCGGTGAATCTTACTGCGCTGGCACTCGATGCAGGTGCGGCTCCACTCCCGGACATCTCTATTGATGCCCGGCCACACAACTTTGCTGCGGAGGAGATCCTGGGTTGCGCGAATTCCTCGATGTGCATGGTAAGCCTCGAAGAACTGCCGACGGAGTGAAGGGGGGATGTAAAGACGTGGGTGGCCCATCGAGGTGTCGCAGAGGATGGTGTCCTGCGAGTCCTGAAGTTGCACCTGCTCCAGCTGAAGAGAGGTATCTCCATTGATAAGTCTGGGAAGAGAAGGGTCTTGTTGCTGTTCCCTGCGAACTAGATGGTAGTCGATGGGGTTGTTGCTGGCACTTACCATTGCTATGGATATTCTGGACAGAGCATCTGTGGCTTTGTTGTTGATGCCTTGGATGTGCCGTATGTCCGTGGTGAACTGGGCCACGAAATCCAGTTGCCTCTCTTCGCGTGGGGACTGGCGGCGGCTCCTGTTGTGCAGGGCGAAGGTGAGGGGCTTGTGATCCGTCAGGATGTGGAATTCTTTCCCCTCGACATATGTCCTGAAGTGCTTGATGGCGCTGTAGACCGCAAGGAGTTCCTTGCCGAAGGCGCTGTAACGGCTTTGCTGTGGGCTGAGAGTCTGCGAAAAGAAAGCCAGGGGCTGCCAACCATTACCTGGATCTTGTTGCAGGACGGCTCCCATGGCGGTGTCTGAGGCGTCGACGGCTATGTTGAGCTTCGCCCCTTGCTGTGGGTGGTTGAGGAGTGTCGCCGAGGCTAAGGCATCCTTGCTGGTCTTGAAAGCCTCGGTCGCCTCAGGGGTCCACGTGATGTCTCTGCTGCGGCCAGACCGGGTGAGAAGGCCCTGTAAGGGGGCCAGAAGAGAAGCACACCTGGGAATGAACCTCCTGAAGAAGTTTATCATACCCAGGTACTTCCGAAGCTGTCTCTTTGTTGTCGGTCTAGGAAACTGCCTGATGCTGCTGACCTTCTCCTGAGCCGGGGTGATGCCGTCAGCAGTAATTGTGTGACCTAGGAAAGTAAGAGAGGGAACTCCGAAGAGACTCTTACCAGGGTTGATGTCGATTCCGGCTTTCTGCAGGCGGTCGAACAGGGCGGAGAGGTGTTGCTTGTGCTCCTCACTACTGCTGCTGGCGATGAGTATGTCGTCGATGTAGACGAAGACGCCTTGTAGTCCGCGGGTGACATCGTCCATGAAGCGCTGGAAAGTCTGTGCTGCGTTGCGGAGGCCGAACGGCATAGGAATTCGTACAGGCCGAAGGGGGTGATTACAGCCGTCTTTGGAATGTCTTCTTCGGCGATGGGGATCTGATGGTATGCTCTGACGAGGTCAATCTTCGAGAAGATCGTGCGTCCAGAGAGTTCACGTGTGAAGGAGTGGAGGTGCGGGAGGGGATAGCGATCCGGCGCGGTGGCTGTGTTGAGATGGCGGTAATCACCGCAGGGGCGCCAATCGCCGTCCTTTTTCCGTACTAGATGCAGGGGGGATGCCCACTGGCTGCTGGAAGAGGCGTATGATGCCAAGATCCCTCATGTGTTCGAACTCTGCCTTGGCGATGGGGAAGCGATCTGGTGCGAGGGGCCTGCAGCGGGAGTGGACCGGTGGGCCAGTCGTGACGATGTGGTGCGTGACAGTGTGTGGCGGTGATGTTGCCACGTTGATGGGTTTTGTCAGCGCTGGAAAGTCACGAAGTAGGGCTCTGTAGGCACATTGGTTGGGTAGCGGGGAACACGTACTAGGGCCGACGCGGCGGGGGTGCAGGCTCCTGACTGGTGTACAAGAGACTCTCGTTTAAGGTCCACTGAGAATCCGTAATGCGCGAGAAAGTCTGCTCCGAGGATTGGCTGCTGTACATCCGCGACCAGGAAGACCCACGTCAGCTTCGAACGAGGGGCGCCACTGAAAAGGAGTGTCATGTAGCGCTCACCGTATACGTTGATGGGAGAACAATTGGCGGCCTCTAATGTGCAAGAGGCGGGCGAGGTCCTGTCCTTGTGTGATGCGGGGATAAGGCTGACCTCTGCTCCTGTGTCTACCAGAAACCGTAGGCGGGAGTCGATGTCACGGACGTAGAGCAGGCGCCGTCTGGGGCCGCGAGAGACCGGCGCTATTAGTTCCCGCGGTGCCCGTTTCCCGGCCAGGAGCAAGGGGGCTGACACCGCTGCGCTTGGGCACCGAATCTGGAGTGATAGAAACAATAGCTACCTGGGGTCGGGGAGCGGCGGCGGTTGTAGTTTCGACGGTGCTGATACGTGTAGTCTCGTCCGCGGTTGGCACGGGGCGAAGCGGGGCTGCGATGGCGGGGCCTGGGATGTGGTGAAGGGTCGCGGGTTGCGAGCCGATGAACGGCGGTTGTGAGCTCGGCGACCTGAGCAGCGAGGGACTCCAGGGTTAATGACGGTGTCGTGGATACAGCTGAAACTTGTGGGCTATTTTGTATCGCGAGGATCTCGTCTGCTTTCAAGGCTAGTTGCTCGATGGGGAGTTCTGAGGCTAGCAGGGCGGTCTGCACCGCCGCCGGCAAACGCTGTAGGAACATCGAGCGCAGAATATCGGGGGGCAGGTGTGTGTCGGCCCGGGCGAGAGTGCGTTGGATGTGACGGAGTATTTCAGAGGGCGTACGGCCGTCCGGTGACGGTGTTGTGAAGAGGGCGCGTAACGCGTGTCGTGGGGAAGGCGCCGCACGCCGCAGGATTGCTTCTTTGAGGCGTTCGTAGGTATTGTATTCGGAGTTGTTGATGAGGTCGCTGACGGAGAGGAGGAGTTCAGGTGAGAGGTTTGTCACCAGTATCCGATATTTGGTGACTGGAGAGGTGACGTGGCGAAGGAGGAACTCCTGTTCCATCTGCAGGAACCATTCCGGAAGGCAGGCAATGGTGCAGGTAGGTAGCGGCTTCAAAGATGTTGACAGACTCATGGCAAAACTGGACTCTTAACTCCGGAGGTCACCAGTGTGGTTTAGGTAAACACACGGTAGTCAATTCAACTCTTTATTGCTGGAGTTACAGAAGTGTGTCACGGTCAGAGTCAAGCCAATGAGTGTGTGTGTCGCTTAGGACTCCGCGGCTTAAATGGGCCAGGCACGACCTAACTTGCCAAATGGTGTGTGTCAGGTCCTACGGAGCGCCGAAGCTTGCCGCGGGCTGGTCACCACAACCTCTTTGTCTCCCGAAATAACTGCGGATTATAAACAGTTAAAAAGAGCTCTTTTTAATGGGTTTAGTAAGACCCCTAATGGCTAAAGACAAGACTTTGGAGCTGCTAAAATCAAGGTCGGAGAAACCTATAAGCAATTTTCAATTAATCTCGGTAGACTTTTTGATCAGTGGGTAGATAGTATCGGCCTCGAGAAGTCTTACGATTCACTGAGAAGCTTGATGATACTTGATCAATTTAAATCCTCCCTTTCCCCACTGCCCGACATTGATGTCAGTAAGAGTACATTTGTCAAAGTTTGCGATTATTTGGGGCGAGTAGAGTATTTCCCTCAGGTGCGCTGTTACATCACGTCCCTACTTTGTTGGATGGACGAACGCCCTACGAGCACCTCTCAAATTTTCTAGTGTACTAATCGGTAATATTCCAGGGGTACGAGACTCTGATTCTGATGATAATGATGCATCTGGTTCTCTCGTTCATAAGGATGACCAGGTTCAGGCTATACAGACCAGGGCAGGGCGTGCAAGAACAAGAGAATTCCTCCTCTGGTTCTGCCTAAACTAAAACCTTTAAATATCACACCGACGGAATTCGCGAAGCTCCTGTCCCTTATTGTCGTCTGTCAGGGAGAAGGTCAACTCGAGAGAACCACACATGACCCGCGAAGGCATGATGGTTGAGAACATTGAAAACGATGGGTTGCTTTACCGCAAGTGCGTAAAATCTCAATTTCAGGATAGGATCGGGAAGATGTCTTTAGTCGTAGCGGCCGACTGCCGAGCTATAGGAACGCCAATAGCTCACGAGTCTCCTCTCGCTGGCCACTTTTCACACCGTAAGACTTTGAAAAGGGTAGCGGACCAGTTTCATTGGCCAAGTATGGGAAGTGACGTGAGAGATTTTTGTCGGTCTTGTGATAAATGCCAACGAATGTGACACAGAGGGCGAGGGAAACCCGTCCCTCTCAAGCCCATGCCGATGATTACGGAGCCCCTTTCCCGTGTTGCAATAGACATAGTAGGCCCGCTGAATCCTCCTGATGATGGAAACAAATATATTTTAACCCTTATAGACTTCGCGACGGGCTTCCCTGAAGCAATTCCGCCGAGCGAAATAGACTCCGCATCCGTGGCGGAAGCTTTGATCGTCATATTTTCCAGAGTAGGAATCCCCGGGGAAATTCTTTCCGACAGAGGCACGCAGTTCACTTCACAATTAGTGGGTGAACTTCATAAGTTGTTGGGTATCAAGCCTCTCTTCACCCCCCCTTATCATCCTAGTGGAAATGGAAGGGTTGAAAGGCTTCATAGTACTCTGAGAGCATCCCTGAGAAAGCTGCGTGTGGACAAGCCCAAGGAGTGGCACCGATATCTTACCCCTACTTTACTTGCCCTCAGAGAAATTCCGAGTGACAGACCTGGCTTTTCTGCCTTCGAACGCCTGCATGGTCGCGCTGTGCGAGGTCCTCTGACAGTGCCGCGAGATCTAGGGGGGCATCGGAGGAGCAGGGATGGCGAGCGAACTACCTCTCAGTATGTCACAGAGCTCAGGGATTAA